GCTGCTGAACTGAGATTCTGAAATGATAGGTGAAAATCAAATAACATTGTGTTTATGCACTATTTTAGGCACTGGATGAGTAAACACTGGTAAGAAAGAATGGGGCAAATTGCCTGAATGTTTTGTCATAGATTTTAAGTGCTTTCTGAAATAGAAATGTTAAGTGAAAACCACCAAAGGTTTATTAAGAATTGATTCAAATCTCACCAAAATTCTACACATCAGTCTTATAAGTTTCAAATGGATGAATGACATGGTGATTAATAAGTGTAATTCCTATTAACACGAAATGTCTGTTATGAGCATAAAATTTTAAATTCAAAAGAGATTACATCGTTAAACCTAATGTAAAAAAATTAAAGCTTGCCTATTTGGCTGATCATGTTATCCATCAGAGTCTATCCATTCACATGTTATTCTTTCTTCAGATCTATTACTGATGAATTGTCAAGCCATAGATATCACAGTCAGTTTTTATTAGACGGTTAAATTTTATTAAGCTTAATTGCATGAAGATGAGCTTCATACAGACTTTGTAAAGAGAGAAATCAATATGGTCCAATGGGAAGAGCAGCTGTTACTTATTATGTACTAATTTTTATAAAAAGTTTGAGTATATTTTTGAGGGAAAAGGAAACACTTCACAGGATAAAGAATTGTTGATGACATAGTTCTGTATGTCATCTGCTGAAAGGAGAGACACAAACTATTGTGATATATTGCAATGTTTTCTGCATACAGTTATTTCTGGGCAACTTTCTGTGATTGAATCTGAGAGAATTATGTATCTCTTATCCAAGTTAGCAACATTTTTGCTTTTGAATCTCTATAGTTTATTTTGCACCTCTTGTTCTTTGAAATCCATACATTTTTTTTCAGCATTTCTCTTTAACATTTCACAAGCTAATGGATTTTTGAAATTGCAAGTTCTCTTGTTTCTTCTTGGTACCTATGTCTGTTCCTTGTAATTTGTATTCACCAGTTGGTTTACATTTTGTAAATTTTTTACATTTTCCAAATTTCTCTCATGTAAATGATGCTGAAAGCAATATCTATTAAATTTGTACTGGATAAAGTTAATCAATGAACTTTATTGAACTAAGTCATTAAACAATGAAACAGACTTTCAGAGGATACACACTGACAGTTTTGCCAGGTAAAGTAGAAATATTTCAATTCTATATCAACTGAGACAACAGTTTGGACAGAGTGAGATTTCCTATAATTTTTTATGGATTTCATGATGTTGTTGGGTTATTTTTTTTTTATTAAACAGCAAAATTAAAGGTAAAATTCCAAAGCAGCTAGGGGATTAAATTATACAACTAGTTGTGAAAAGAAATGTTAAGCTTATTGTATTTTAAGAGATTTTGGGGAAAAAAAAAAGGCATTTCTGGTTATCTGAGGAGACCAGTGTAACAGTGCTGTATCAAAGGGTAATAACACTGAGGTCACAGTCAAAAGTTTGAGATATGCAATCAAAAATCAGACCAGAGGCAGTATAAAAGCCATAATTGATGAAGAATATCAGAGCTGGAAAGGGTAGAGTTAGAAAAAAAAACAGTTTTGTGTGATAAATTTTAAAAAATCCTAAGTCTCATGGAACTAATCTGAAAAATCAACTCTACATACATAAGTCCAGATTTATGCAATCTGCATCTGAATTGCTGTAAAGAGTTGAGTTCCTTCCTTTCCAGAGGAGGTCTGTTCCATATTGCAGCTGGGTTCATTGCTGTGGACATTTTGCCTACTGGATAAAAAGCTGAAGGAGGAAAAAGGCTCAACACACCCATCTGTGTGTCTGGGAAGAGGAATTATTTTTATGTGAAATTATTAACTTCACATAATCACTGTGATTCACAGTCCTTCCTCTCAAATCTTCGGGGTTTGTTGCCTGTGCACTCTTCAGTGGACGAATCCAAGTTGCTTTTTCCTTTGGGTCATTTTTTTTCAGTACCATGTTGTTCATGATGATTCAACTTGCTGTTTCATTTCCTGGGGCCAGGCACCCAAGCCAGCTGCAAGTTTTCAGAAATCTCCTTTTGCTCCTCTACTCATTGATGGGAACTGAAAATTGCATCTTTTCCCTGATGAGTCATTGATTCTACACTGCCAAGAGTCTGCCAAAAAGATACAAGGATGTTTCGGTTTATTTATGATGAATGCATTTAAAAAAAAAAAAAAAATCAGACGAAATAGAGAAATGCTTCTCTGCTCTTGATCTGTTCATCCCCCATCCCAGCGACTGTCCCAATTCAGGTGCAGCATCTTGCACATCTTATTAAACTCGGTGAGATTCACATCCACCCACTTCTCCAGCTTGTCCAGGTCCCTCTGGATGGCATCCCATCCTTCAAGTGTGTCACCTGAACCGCTCACCTTGGTGTCATCTGCAAGCTTGATGAGGGTGCACTTGATCCCTTCATCTGTGTCATTAATGAAGATATTAATTAGCGTTCCTCCCACTGTGGACCCCTGAGGGCACCACTTGTCACTGATCATCATCACTGACCAAACTGTTTGTTTGGGTTTTGTTGCTTTGTTTGTTTGTTTGTGGGGTTTTTTTACCTTTTTAAAGATGGGTACAATGTTTCCCTTTTTCCAATCACCTGGGACTTCACCTGACTGCCATGACTTTCCAAATATCATGGACAGTGGCTTAGTAATTACATCAGCCAATTCCCTCAGGACTCTGGGATGCATCTCACTGGTTCACATAGACTTGTGTATATTCGTGTTCCTCAGGTGATCATGAACCTGATCTGTAACTACCAAATATTTTGCACAGCTAATGGTTTAAGTGCTTAAGATAATGCTGAAATGCAAAACATATAATGTGATTTAACTCTGGAGAACACTCGTATCTGACAAAGGCTGGATTTTAGCAAGAGCATATCTGCTGATCAGTCTAAAGTTTATGTGATTTTTTTCCTAATGCACTAGTTAATGAAGAACTGAGTGAAATCATATGCAAGTAGCTGAAACTCGGGTTGGATGTTATCATAATACATTATATATATATTCTATAATTATATATATGCTTTATGTACCGTACTTTACCTAGATATTCGTTCATCCTGACAAAGTACACGTGAGAAATAAATTCAGTCCTTATTTTGAAGAATAAAAGCTTAGCTTCTAATATTTCAGGAAGTAACAGTCAGAGGTGGAGTGATTTTTGAGGTGCAAGTCTTTTGAGTTACTGGATACTTGCCTCTGCTGTATACAAAAAATTAGCATCGGTTGGAATGTTTATTAATATCTGAAATAACAAGTCATGTCAGCAGAAGGGTAAAAACAGCTGACTAAGTGAATATCAGTCTCTCGAAAACAGATTATATTGATATTTACCCTGGCACTACATTAATAAGCTGATGGTAAAAACAAAACAGCTTGGAATCAGAGTACTACAGGTGACCGTAACACGCAGAGTGTTGGTTACTAAATCGTTCTCTTTCATAATGACCGTTTTAAAAAAGCACCTCCATGTGCTGAAATCATAAATATTCATTTTAAGCCCAGGTTGATATGTTGACAGTGACATTTCATTCTGCAGCAAGGTGTCAATTGGTGTAACCTAATATTCAGAGAACAAATCTGATACGTGTATAATTTCACAGTGGAGTGAGGGACGGTGCCATCATCCTTTAAGACCCATGTGCTTCATTCTGACAGATACCTAGATATGGATGAGGTGTCCTTTCATTTTAAATCTTCTCTGATTTCAGCAGAATTTTTCTGATTAGGCCTTCTAATGTCTGGTTCAATTGCTTTCCATCTTACATTTTTTCTTAATTAGACAAAAAAAATCCCGTTTGTTAATCAGAGGAGCGTGCTTGTATTCATCAGGACAAAATTTCTTTATCTGTACTTGTATGTTTTGTAACTGATGTGTTGACAAATATGAAAGAAAAGGCGAAAAAATTTATTTTTTTATTAATCTGACATTGGCTTCGGAAAATACGTTATGCTGTCTATTTTTAAACTAGATATTACTGATATTAGAAAATTTAATTTGCTTTTCTGAGTTTCTTTGCTAAAGTGTGTATTCAAAATCCATTAGTGTTAAGATTCTTGCTTAATTTTGAGGTCTTGATCTCATGATAAAATACTAATGATTTGCTGCAAATCTCACATTCTTTCCCCACCCCTTTTTAGAAGCAGAGATACTGCAAGAAGGGAAAAAAATAAAATCAAGTTGTAACAGGAATAGATGTTTCAATCCACTGATTGATCTTCCTCAAATTAGCAATTTTAATGAAAAAAATAAGTTGCTTTAGCATTAACTGTAATGTTTACTTTTTTTTTTTTTTCTGAAAAGAATATGAGAGTCGAGTCTGTATTTCATTCAGTGTAAAGCAATATGAATCGGATTTATTTCATTGTGGATCTTATTAAAAAACCTTGAAAATATACGATTACATTCCAAGTAGAAATTACCACTTTGAAAAGGGTAAAATATTTTGACTTGCTCATTATTTAATGAGTAGTTTTGATTCCCCTGAGCATATTTGTCAATTCTAGCTTATACTGTAACAAAGTTTAAGTGAGAAGAAATTGTGGAATGAATTAAACTTCACAAAGTTAAAACAGGCCTGAATTGTTCTCCCTTCAGGTCACTGGATGTCTCAAAACTCCGTAATTCCAAAGTTCTGCTGTGTTTCCTGCATGGTATATCTTTTAAAGTAGGAAAAGTCTCACACTGTGTGCCATCATTTGTGCTAGATCCATCTTTTGTGTCTCCTGCTCGTCACAGACAATGCATCATTTGCAGTGTTTGATGATTTGCACCCTCAGAAGCAGCACATCATTTTGACATATAAAGCACCAATTTATCCATGTTAGGAGAAATCAAGTTATGCAGGTGAACAGTGGGACACAGTCTGATTTGAAATCTATAAAGGGTGCTGGAATTAATTAAATTTGGGCGAGCTGAGACTGTTTTCAGATAAGTTAACTAATGCTTTGAGATGATGTCATGCTTTTATTTTCTGTGTTAGACAGGGCTATGAAGAACTGGAAAGACAGCTGAAAGAAGTCTTTAAGGAAAGGAGCAACATACTTCACCAACTGTTAAGGACTTCTAAAGAACTTCAGGGAATTAAAGTAAACCTTCAGGTTAGGTTCTGTCTCAGTTTTTATAGAATTACTTACCTCAGTACTTTCTTACTGGTGTCTATTAATTGCAAAAAACGTGTGTTTCTGGTTTGTTGGTTTGTTTTTAAACATTAAATATGTAATTATTATTTTGTTGATTTTGTTGAATTTGTGCTTAACATAAACCCAGTGTTTCCATGGAAAATTTTATCCTAATGAGTTGGGTCCTCCCTTTGTCTACTCATCTCACACATTTTTATCTCCATGTTTATGGAAGCTAAATGGGAAAAATAAAAGGAGGAGATGCACTATATCTGTTCACAGGAGAATACTAGTGCTGTGCATCAGTACTGTGCTGTATTGTATTATTGAGTTATATTGTCTTGTATTCCAGGCTTCTCTGGTTTTAATTAATGGTTTTTTGAGTGCTTTATCACTCTTTATTATTGTAGGGTTTTTCTCCTTACCTTTTAGGCAAATGTGCCTCTCTTTGAAGCAAAGTTCTTTTAGAATGCAGCACAGCTGAAGGTAGCATTCAGCAAAAATTGTACTGTGAGATGTTTTAGACTCAGCACTGCAGACATCCTGATAGGAGCAAAGAGCTGTAGTGTTATCTCCTGTATATACGCACTGATCTTTTCCACAGAATTCTAATGCTTTTAGTAATTTTTCTGTTTCTAAATATACTTATTTGATTAACCCTCCTTAACTATTTGAAAAACAGCTGTGTACACTTAACTGTGCTTGAGTTACAGTAAAAAAAGATCGGTCTATTCCTTCATTTTTTGTAAGTGACAATTTATTAACAGGGGCCAAATTAATAATTTCACGGCTGAATAATTAAAAATCTCTTTGGTAATAGAGTTTTTTCATTGCTACCAGTCTCTGAAAAACGATGAAGCATCAACCAAAAGCGACGTACAGAAGCTTCTAGAATTGGGAGCAAAGCAAAGGTAAGACCCTCATCTCCTTCCTTCTCTTCAAATTCCACCTTTCCTTTTACTTTATGGATAAACACTACTGTATTCCAGGGTCTGCTGATTGCAACAGTAAAAGAAAGGCAAATTTTTGAAAACTTTTTGAAACAAATGATGGATTTGCTGATATTGGACATTCATTAGGAAAAGATACTGAAGTGCTGTATCTGATAAGGGAAGGCATTTGGATTTCTAAGGAAGATTTAGTCATGAAATTATCCTTCAAGGATAAAAGCAGACTTTTTAGGAAATTAAATCATTAAAATGTCTTAATCTCTGAGTTTAGAGATGATGAGATATATATATTTGTACAGATATACATTGGATGATCCATGAGGCAGGGAGCTAGAAGGAGAGAGAAATATTCACTTCAAATTATTCATTGGGTACTTAAAAAGTAATGAGTATCCAGTGGCTGGGAATGCAGGTTCCCAGCATAGTCCTTAGTCTCGGATTTCCCAGTGCTTCATTGCTGGTGAGTCTCATCATTCTGTCTCTCTTAATTATTGGAATTCTAACCAGCAAATAGCAACATCAATACAATTTTAATAACATGAAAACACAACTAATATGGTGACTGATTTTTGCTGAAAAAATAGCATATAATGAATGCATCTATACTTCGTATTTTTCCTTAATAAAAACATACAGTAAGAAGCTTTATTAATTTCATACTTCTTTCACTGTTAGAAATGCAATAATTCATTTCCATGACCATCTTATTGTTGATATTGCATTTAACAGAGCTACATGTGAAATGGAATTGTTATAGAGAACCTGAGAAAACAACCTTCAAGTCTTCCAAACACAACATTTAAGATCCATAATAAAACACCAATAGGAGTTCTTATTTTTGCTGTGATAGAGAAAGGTCAAATACATAAGGATCTTTCAGGTATTCCTGACAAATTTATTAAATGGTAAAGGCAAGGCTTCAGCTAATGTCCTATTAAAACACTCAAGTGGTTTGGATGTAGCTTAAGGTGGACATCTCAGCTGTCCCTGGCACAAATTCCATCCTTCATCATTCGTGGAGGTGATTTTGTGGTTGTTTGGTTCTTGAGCAACTTTCTTTTATGAAACAGAGAGATGAATTGATTAAAAGTGTTAATGGGCTGTTTAGTAAATAGATCTTCGTTGCAGATGGTAAAACTGAATCTGCTAAGAGAAGATTTTACTACACACTGCAAGTGTTCTTCCTAATCTCTCCCTTAAATCACCACTCACAGTCTCTCAAGGTCCACCAAAAAATACCTGTTGACTTTTGCTTCTCAGGGATCCAACCATGAGTATCTGCACAAAAGCTGTTCCCAGAGACAGAGACGAGATCAGTGCAACCTGCTGCTGAGCAGCCCACCCCCTCCTTCAGAAAATCAAAGGCAATAATAATAAAACAAACAAGATAGTACAAGGAAATACCTTGGAGCTACTGCTCTTGCCAGCTATTTACAGGCTTACTGTATTTCACTTCCAGTGAAGTGTAGAAGTTCAGCGTACAAAGGGGATGTTAAAAATGTACCAAGGAATCCTTCTAATTTCAATAAGGAAGAGGCACAGTTTATTTTCCAGGAGCCTCAGACTGTATTTCATCTGCATAATGTTAAATATTGAAACCAAAAATTCAAAATACAGCCCAGTGTTAATCTTATGACCTTTCTTTGGGCAAACATGAGCTGCATTTGGTGTAAGCACTACTTTGATTGTGCTCTAAAATGATGGTACAGTTAAGTTTAGAGTGCTAGAATCCTCAGCTTGTGTAAGTAAATTTTGTTCTGCTGACTTCAAATTAGCTTTTTTTAAAAAAAAAAATTTCCTTCTGTGTAAGTTCCTCAGTGCTTCCGAAGTTGCAAGTAAAACTTGGTCACTCACCATAACGCCCCAAGTTTTATTCTTACTGTGCATCATCAGCACTTGGAAATCGTGGCATCTGTTTGTGCTGATGGAGTATTGGTTTCGTGCCGCTCAATCACTTTTTCAATTAAATCTGCTCTGTACTAGCACTGCCAAAGTGGCTGCAAGTAGTAGGGTTGTCAGCTGGCAAGGAAGATGATCCAGCAGCTAACAAGTTTTGTTCTTGTATAAACTATGTGGTTTCCCCTCCAGCTTAGTTTTTACTGGGCCAAATTGTTACCTGTGTGGAAACCCAGTTTTGGGTTGATCTGTGCTGAAGGTTTACCTGTGCAAGCAACAGCCCTGAAAAAGCTCTGCAGCTATTTTCAAATATGTTACCCTGCTACTTTTGCCCCAGCTCCAAAACATACCACATACTGTGGGTAGAAAATTCCTGCGACGTGGAGAAATTCTCTGCTTTGGTATCGCGAAGGGTGTCTTTGGTTTCAAATAAAGCCCAATCCAATTAATTATCCTGTTTTGGTTTGGTGTTCTTTTTTTTTTTTTTCCAGAAAAAATTCTACTGAATTTTGTGTTGCTTGTCTTTAAAAAGTGCAAAGTGAAGGTTGAATTTTATCAGAGCATGATTGGTTTATTTATTTTAAAGCAGGTATAAACTGGTTCTCATTGATAATAGTATGGCTCCATGTCAATGCATTTTGAGCAACCCACTTTCCTCAAGTTTTTGGTGCCAATCTTTATTTTTTTTACTAGAAATTGTATGCTGACAGTTGTTCTGCACAGCAGGCCATTCAGCAGATATAAACAGTGGCCAATTTCAATCATAGCCAATTTTCGTCCTGTTTTCACACTGTAGTTCGTGGGGTTGTTGTGATTTTGTTTGGAAGACTCAAAGTACATGTGTCTGCTACTCTGAATAATTAAAGGTGCCCTTTCTTGGATCTGAAGAATTGTTTCCTGGTGGACACTTGTGTTGAAGTTTGTGGTTATTTTTGTGTTTTTAACAAACTAGGGAAGAAATGAAATCTCTCCAGCAAGCCTTCCAAAAACAGCTTCAAGAGGCAACTGAGAAAGCAGAGAAGCAGCAGGCTACCGTGAGTGATCCCCTGTCCTTCTCTCACTATTTTTGACTTTCTTCTGTTTGTTTGTTTGTTTGTTTTCCTAATCTTGCCTTGAGAATGTGTTATTAGCTCAAATAACTCTTTGTGTAAAAAAAGATAAATGGATTTCACATATGTGTTAGTACTCTGCCAGCTTCTGGAGAAAGGAGCTGAAAAAAAAGTTTGTGTGTTCAAAACTGCGAAGATTCCCGCCTTCCCTAATTTCTGTGGGATTTAGGGAGGTGTATAAGCTTTTGGGGGCTGGTGGGCTGGAGTCTTGGGCCTAAATCCTCTCCCCTGGTGAGGTCACCATTATGGACCCTCATATCTCACCCATACCAATGCGCCCTGTCATACATCCACTGACTTCTTTTGAACCACTACAGATTTTCAGCAACAAAACGGATAGAAGAGTGTCCAGTTTTGGGCATAGTAAAACTAATTATCAGTGCAGGAAGGTGTTATCAAGACCCATTAAGATTTCATTCTTTCTTGAAATTCCGTTTCTAGATAAATTGTACAATTGTTTCAAATTTTTTTGTGTAGCAATGTAGTATTTTGGAGCATAAATTGCCACATTTTGCTACTGCAGGGAAAAAAAAAACAGTAGAATCATGTTTACTGAGGTGTAAAAAGGAAATTTTTCCTATGTTGGTTAATAATATTCCTATAACATGAACACCACTGAGCCTAAGTTGATTAGAAAATCCCCAGAGGTTCCTTCAAACCTTAAGTGTTTTGTGATTTGAACTCTGTACTTGAAAACAAGCTGCTAGAAGGGTTTATAAATATATTCTTTTGTTTCATATTGGATGATTTATTTACTAAGATCTACTTACTTATTTACTAACATCCCACTGTCTTCCACGTTAGCAAAACAAGAGTTCCTCCAAGCCAGTGGTTTAAAAGTAATTATTAAATTTAGCAAATACTTACAATGGTGTGATTTGTGAGAGTGAATGTTTTACATGCTACCTTCTAATTAGAAATAGCATAGATTTTGGATGAAACTATTCCTTTTGCAAGTTTCTTTCAATTAATGTGATTTTTGAAAACACATTTTTTTACCTTTGTTGCTCAAAGGTCTGAAGTGTAAAGATACTGATTTACCTCATCCTATGTCCCACACATATAATTAGTGGATTTTTGGTACTTGTAATTTTTTCTAGAGAAAAAAAAAAAAAAAGGACTCTTTTCTTCTTGAGGGGTGGAGAGAAGTAATCTGAAAGCTCTATTGAGCTTGGACAGGGTAGTATATTTTGAGGTTCTTTCTCAATAGCCAGGGCATCATATATCCAGAAAAATAAATCTGCACTTAGTTTTTAAGATGGTTTTTGCACTGAGGCAATCTATATAAAACCAGAGAATCACTGAATGTTTAAGGGTTGGAAGGGACCTTGAAGTTCACCTTGTCCCAGCTGCTCTGGCCGTGGGCAGGGACACCTCCCACTAGACCAGGTTGCCCAAGGCCTTATCCATCCTGACTTTGTAAACAGCTCTGAGGTCTGCCTGCAACCTGCACTTCTCCAGGCTGAACAGCTCCAGCTTTCTCAACCAGTCTTCAAAAGAGAGCTCCAGTCCTCTCATCAACTTCGTAGCCCTCCTCTGGACTTGTTCCATCAGTCCCATGTCCTCCTCGTGCTGGGGACACCAGGACTTGTACACAGCACTCCAGGTGGAGTCTCACAAGGGCAAAGTAGAGGGGGAAAATCCCTTCCTTCAATGTGGTCCTGAAATAAGAAAAAATGAATCTCTAGTTGTGTCTGATAAGTACTCAGAACATGCTGGTTGAAAGCTGCCTTTTTTTCAGGCGCACGAACATATTCCCACTGACTTCAAAAGCACAATGAATTCTAGTCCTACAAATAGAAGGTGGAAAACGTATTGCATTGCTTAATCTCTGTGTTAGATATTGATATTCAAGACTAATTCAGCTGTGGGTTACGTAAATCTCAGATGTAGTGAATGGATTACTTGCCCATTTGTTTTTGTGATAGAGCACTTCTTTTAATCTGAGCAGCATTGCCTTGAGTAAATTCGGTCCCTACCCTAGTTTTGGGAAGAGCACAGGATTTGTTGTACACAGAACAAAATCTACCTTTAACTGTGAGCAAAATACCACCTAGTGCAGAAACCAGAAAAAAAAACTCCTCTGAGTTTATAGCAGAGCTTGGCTTGGAGTGCTGGCAGATGGTTGGAGAAGCTGAATTCTCAAGCTGCATTCCAATACTTGCCACCAACAGCATATTAAACTTGCTGCTAATTCCAAGGAAGGCAGAACTGTGTCCTTGGTTTGTGGTATTTACTTCTCTGTGCCTCGGGGTACAATGTATATAATGAAGCTCAACAATGCAGAGAGACTGAATGAATATTCAAAAAGCGCATCAGGATCCTCACATGAAAACCGCTGTAGAAATGGAAATAGATTTTACTACTGACACACAAGGTTACTTTACACCTGGCTTTTCCATGTGTTTGACATTTTTCTGGAAGCAATGTGAAATCTATGGAAGAAGGTCTAGGTATTTTGAGGCAAGACTAGCCAGAGGAAAGGAGCTTGGATTTAATTGTAATTTAATGAATCATGAGACTGGCTGCTAACCTAATTTAAACACATCCTAGTCTATAGGATTTGGTGAAGTAAAACTTGGTTTTCATCAGTCAGTAAGGTTAGAATTACATTTCTCAAGGACTAATAAAACACTGGTGGAAGAGGGAAAGGTGGAAATACATATTTCTTTTCTGCACTTGCCACGGGGGCACAGTGCAGTGCTTTTACTGTAGGTGTGTTAATTGGCTGTATATATTCAACACCTGTCTGAAGGTGTTCCTTGTTAGGTAAATGTAGAAGTTTAAGTAAGAACTTACAGGAATTAAGTCAAATTACATGAAAAGTAGCCTGGAAATTGTTCAAGTTCTCTGGCCAAACCAAGAGAACAAAGGAGACAGCACAGCAATACCTTAGGCTTTGCATTCATGCCTTCTTGTGCAATGTGAGGCAAGGCTCTTCACTATCCCTGCACAAATGATTCATCAGAAAGAGAGTTATCAATGTCCTTGTCCTCTTTAACAATCAATGAAGGTTAACAGAGCTTTTCATACTGCACTTGACATCAAATACCTAAGCCATTTATAATAAGTTTTTGTACAGTGACAAAAGATATTAATAATGTCAAGCTATTATCTCTAAATGTGAAGTGGAACCAGAAACAGCATTAGAGACCTTGGACTAATTTTCCCTTTTGTTGACAAAAAGGCACAGAGAAAATGGCACATGTGGCTTGAAAGTGTTTTATTTTGTTTGGGATTTTGTCAGTGAATTCTAATAAATAGAGGAAGTAGTGATTCTCTATTTCTTCACCAGGTTAAAAGGCTCTCAGAGCTTCTTGGAGAAGGGCTCTTTGCTTTGCTGTACTTCAGGATAATTGCTGGCATGTTAAGAAATAGCTATATTTCTAACAAGTTTGCAAAGTTATTTCCCATTAACTGCTGTTAAAGTTTAGAAAAAGAGCTGGATAGCTCTGGATGTGGGAGAAAATAAATAACGAAACATGGAAACACTAAAAAAGAGTTTGTCTGAAGTAAGATTAGTCTACCTTTTATATTTTGTTCCTGTTGGTATTTTAGCTCATGCTAGCAATTTTTAAGGAGATATGTTGATGGAATTGTTTGACAATACAATTACAGTGCTGTCTGTCAAAATAAAGGAGAAAATAGGTCTGTGTAATTTCCTTTTCCCCAGTTGCTCAGTGTTCACTATAAAAAATGAGAATTAAGTAACACATAATGCATGACTTATAAAAAGGAACCATACACAATGTGGTTATTTTGAAATCAGGAGGGTATTTTCAGTAATAAAAGACTAGCAGAATACGGGGAATTTAATTCAATGTTATCCTCACGCCTGCGAGATTTTTAATAAAAAGGTGTTCTTTTCACTTCAAAAATATTTATTTTGTTTATTAAATTTTTTATGACTTTATGTTCCCAAAGTCCTAAAGGTTTCTTTGACAAAAGTCTCTTTTACTAATCAAACTGTGACTTGCAGCTTAAAAGTTACATTCGTCTACGAAATAGGTAAAAAACCAATATTTTGATCTACTTTTAAAAGTATGATGAGTTCTGAAACACACAAACCTCTAAGAATCTTGGATGTCTGTCTCCAGGATATGAAAGCAGTGTCCTTTCTTAGTATTGAAGAGTTTTGCTTAAGGAAAACATATTTTCATTATGTATTTTCATAATTATGGCACTTAAAGGCAAAAAACATCTGAAAAGAGGTGAATGCCAAACAAGAACGAAGTGTGGGCAGAAAGGAGGAATTTTCTTTGTTCAGTTATTTAGGTTTTACCCTTCTTGATTTAGAGTTGGGTGTATAAATGTCTGTCCTTGTTTATTATGCGACCAGGATTCAGTGACTGGAAGCAGAATTTTTACATCTCTTCTGGAAAATGGTGTTATGCCTCATCCTTGAGACTGACTAAAAGCATCGTGCAAATGGTCTGATACAGACTGGTCTGCCTTAAAGCATGAAATTATACACATTGATAAACTTAAATGGGTAGATTAAGTTGTCTCTGTATTGACTGCAATAGACAAGTCATATAAACCCCTCCATAGCTCTGCTTCATTGCTAAGTGGTTCTTAAGATGTTAGAGATTTAGAGGACCTTTAAAATGCTGTTATAATATGAATCAAAAAATGAATTAATTCATAATTAATACTAAAATTATTTTTAATGTTGAAAAAATATCTTCTAATTATTCAGATAAGCTTAAACAGTATGTTTACACTCTGTGGGCTGTCCATGTCAGTGATATAAAATGCATGTGTATGTGCTTAGTAATCAACAAAAATACTGATTTAACCAACAGATATTGCTGTTAAATTAATAGTGCGGGATTGTCCTAATTGCCTCTTCCCTAGAAGATCCAAACTATGTAGAGATAATAATTTTGCTATCAAATCTCTTTAATTATGTCATATATATTCATAGTAAGAAGTGAAGTGCTTTGAAGGCATATTAATATTCTCCTGAGCATTAGGTCTAAGAAAGGGAACACTCTTTAAAGGAGGTCAGTATATTGTTTTTGTCAGGATTTAATGGTAGCTGGCAATACTTTTGAACAGCTGAAAAAAAAAAAAAACCAAAATAACCATGCAAATAGCTATTTTATGTTCCTCCCCATTCCTCTTGATCTCACATTTTGGTCATGGCCTTTATTTTTTGTTGTACAAAATCTTCATATTTATTATCTAGTACATATGGACTAAATTACAGTAGTTTTGTCCTTGCCAGGCAGCTGCTGAATATGTTTGTCCTCTGATAAAGCATCATCCTCAGTGATAGGTGGACGTGGATTTAGTGTTTCCACAGCCAAAGCACTTGGTGTTTCTTTCACAAACTCTTCCAGACTTTTGTCTATTTATGCATGTCAGGTGGCACCGGTTACATTTCTGTCTTAAGTGATGATAGCATTCCCTGACTTCCCTTTTGATACAAGTGAGGGTGACATCAAGTTCAGGGACATTTTTCAGATTACTGACGTGTCTGCTTGAGTTTGGACAGGATTCTAAGAACAGTAGATTCAGTGCCATTTTTTTACCTACATGACATCCAAACCATGAATCTCTGGGTCAATGTCAAGATATTTTTTCTTACAGGGGTTTTGTTGTTCTTTAAAAGTCTGTCTCAATGTCAAAATAACTTCAGTTTCCCTTGGATAGAGTTTTGTATCAACAGGGAGAGAGCACGGCATTGGTTGTGTTAGAGGGTAAAAAAAAATTTGATGTCATAGAATCAGTTCATAAATCAGTTGTAAAACTCCTTAGTTCTCTGAAGATCACATTGAACTTCCTCATGAAAGATAAGCACCTGGTCTAATGGTGCAAAGCAAAAGTACACCTATTTATGTAGAGTGATTTTCTTCTTTGGATTATAAGTTTTCTAGTAAATATACTAAATATTTGTGGATTCAGCAAATACTTAACTCTGACTCATACCAATTTGGGATATAAGCAAAATTTTTTTGGTTTGGTGGTTGCTCTTTTTTAAAAAGCTGTGAGAAGCATAAAAAAATACTCAGTGGTTACAACTGATGTTCAGGTACATCTCAACAACTCACACTCAACATTTATTTGAACTTGCAGATTAACTTTTTGAAGACTGAAATGGAAAGAAAGAGCAAAATGATCCGAGACCTCCAAAACGAGGTAAGAGGAACATTTGATTGCCATCTCCATTCAGATCTCATATTGAAAGCCAATGTTGTTTGGCTTCATATATAAAAATGAAATGGTATGAAACTGAATTTATTTTGAAATTTGACCTCGGAATAGAAACATAAAACATTTGAGAAGCATCATATTTCTTTTCCTCCTTACCTTTTTCTCTGCAAACACCTTGCCTAAATCAGGATGTAGTTACCCCTTCCATTGCTTCATTTTGCAAAGTTCTTTGCACTTGAAAAATTTTTTTATTTTTTTTTTTACTTTATTCTTGTTCTCTTACATATCTCTCTGTATATATACAATCTCAAAAAAGTACACATGACTTTTTAAGTCACAAAGGTGTCCTGGTTTCAGCCAGGACAGGGCTGAACTGGGGAGTATTATTCCTAATTTTTACTCCTAAACCACAAGAGGAATTGTCTCTCTCAGTTGCTCAAGCCTTTATCTACACTCACAACCACTTTACTCTCTTTTCCCACCTGTGGTCACTGGATGCTTTACAACTGAGCCTGTTAATTCTGATAAATCATATCAGTCTCGTCCTGTTGACCAGCCATAAAAAAATCTTGTCTCTTATTGCACATGAGTACATAAATAAATTCAAGCTGTCTGAATCAGGTGATTCTTTTATTACTACCCTGTCCTAGCACATTCACAGAAATAAGTACTGGAAACATTTCCATAAGTTTTCTGCCTTTTTTTTTTTTCTAATTTAATTAAATTATTTGAACTTTTTTTTTTTTTTTTTAATGATGTCATCTTGCAAGATGTTCCGAGAGCTGTAGGAAAAGACTGTGAGAGCTGTTTATTCTGCACTTATTTTTGGAGAAAAAAAGAGTAGTAACTGTGATTAAAGATATATGTTTATAGTCCTAGCACACCCTGGAAATCAGAAGCTCCAGCATTTTGTTCTTTGCTCAGTCAGCTAAACTTGTCTTGAGAGAAATTTGATTTTAAAGCATTGCTTAGCCCTGTGCATCAGCTACAGTGTGGAAAAGGAACCCAAAGCTATACCTAACTCATGGCTTTCTGTCAAATTTCTATACCCTGTTTGCCAGTTCCCTAAAACTAAGCACTAATATCAGTTTTTCTGAAATTAAATTATGTAATTTTGAGAAAATATGTTATCTAGGTCCTGCCTCCAACCACGTTGCTTTTAAAAACCTGGTTTGTAAGATTGGATATGCTAAATATGTAAGTAACTGATAGCATTTTATATGTAATTTTTGAAAGTGCTACCTGCATAGAGATATATAGAGACAGAAAATGAAAATGAAATAGCTACTCTTGTCCTTTCAAATATTGCATTCACCCTCAGTTTTTTGCTGCCAAACTGTGAATTTTGCAATCTCGGGCTCTTCCTGCAAAAATGATTCCCTGTTTAGTCCTGTTCTTTCAGCACATGCCCTTCTGCCATTCAGCTTTGCCATTTGGAGGTATGAATAGATGACATCCCAGCTGAATGCAGCAGCTGTGATGTGTGAGGAGAGGACATTGCACAGAAAGGCAATTTTCAGGCTATTCAAGGGCTCTGAGGGAAAAAAAAAAAAAAAAGAAAGAAAAAGTCGACAACAAAAATAGTCTGTGGTATGGAAGGGAAAAAAAAGTGCCAGATAGAGGAAATAGAGATCATGTCTCTAGAAATCCTCCCTTTTTTAGAGGTCTCTGAGTACTTCCTGCAAATACTAGGAAATATCTGTCAGGCTTCCAGCTGCAACATCGTGTGTTAATGTAGTCTAATAAAAGTTTTGGCATGTCAATAGTTAATACTTCTTATTTTGAGAGGCTTCTATTATCGACAAAACAACCGAGGCGCCTGAAATTACAGAAGCTTGGCCAAAAAAATGCAGAGGAAATTAGAACAGGTATTAAAAAACATCGCTTTGAAAATCTGAAATTTTTGAATGTGGCCTGCTACAGGACGAGAAAGTCGCTTCTGTGCAGGAAATTATGCCAAAAGTGCTCTAAAAACAAAGCTGCAGCAGGATGCTCTCTTAGCCCTTGTTTCTGTCAGAAGAGCCACAAGTCTTCACAGTTGCCATTTGACACTCAGAAGTGATTGTTTTGGTGCAACTCTGAATGTGCATGTAAATATGGATTAGTTTCTTAAATGAATGATTTTTTTTCTTCATTGAAGTGTGTAGCGTATTTTATTAGTTTGTTATTGATTTCCTACCTCTTTTCTACTGAGCAGTAGAGAACTGTTATTCAGATTTTCACATGGACACTGGAGCTGTCTCACCTTAGACTTAGAAATGTGTATAAAATTGCTCTTATTTAAGCCATTTAATTAAGTTTTATTAGGTAAGGACCGGCTTATCATATTTGGGCAAAGCATTTTATGATATTTCTCTGAACACCTACATTAAGGTATGTTAATAGCTTTACAGACTTAAAACAATCCCATGTATTTATAAATTTGATGCAGTGTTTTACACAAGGCACTGTATTCTTTAGCTGTTTGGACTGTGACAGAGCTTTTGAAAAACATGGATTACACAGAAGATGTATAGTAGTACAGGCAATACAAAGCAAACCAGGAATGGAAAATTAGTTACTAACTGCTGTAGCTCTCATTAATATGTGGTTGGTTTTGGTGGGGTTTTTTTCTAAGAAGCACAGTTTTAAATCACAACCTTGTAAACAGTACTTCTGCTCTATTCTTATATGAATTGTGGTTATGGCTTTATTGTCGAGTAAATCATCCTACACCAGCCTTTTCTCCAGTCTCCCTGTGCTTAGCTGCACTGGTAAAGGATAAAGTCACAGCAGCATAAAGCCTCACCGGATGTATTGGGAATTTCATGCCCTGTAGGAAGAATTCGATTGAATTGCACTGAATTATGGTGGGGACAAAAAAAACCCCGAGAAACGTCCCTTAGTGAAGCAGAAATTAAATTCTGAGGCTTTGAGACTCTATCCTGATTCTGTTCCATAAAGGAGGACATTGTAGTTCTTCAGTCTTCGTACTCCACTGATAAAACTAACTTTTTTTCCCCTAAGTATAAAATCCTGCCTCCTTGAGAAGAAAATGGGGTAAAATCCTGTGCCTTCCTTGGGTGCTAGGTTGGTTCTACAATTCAGGAACCTTCCACAAGTGTCAGAGGCAGGAGCACTGCCTGGGGAAGGGAGAAGGAGCAGGAAGGGTGCAGGAGCAGCTGCAGATATGTTCTGCTGAAGGGCTTTGAATTCAGTACTATTTCTTAAATGATTACATCTTCTTTTGAAGTAAAATGAAGTTCCATTTTAAAAAATGATTTGCTTAATATTCTTCTATGACTTTTTTTTTTTCCTTTTTCTGAATATGATAAGGAAAGAGTAGAAATGCAATTCAGTCAGTTGGAAATGGCTCTTAGGGGGCAGCATATGAGATCATTCAGAGAATAAATCCTACTGCATCACGATTGTCAGTGAGATATATTTGTAGTGATCCAGTAGCAACTGCAGAGAATGTTAGAGTAAGTTCTATTTTTATGAGCTTTGTTTTCCTGACCTTGTAGACACGAGAGAGTAGGACACATTTTCTCACTTGGCTGTTGAGTGAGAATCAGAATCACAGCATCAGTTATGGGAATGCAATGGAGCTGCTCTGTCTGGACCCCACTCTCCTAGGGACCACTGTATTTTTTTGGTTCTTTATTCATTTTTTACATTTAGACACAGGCTTTAAAGATTCACATTCGTGAACTGCTAGAAAGTGAAGGAAATATTCCAGTGAGAATGTTTAGGTAAAATGCATCCTTAAACAAATGAGAAGATTAAAAGGTTAAATCTGCACTTACTAGGGCTCTCTTTTTATCTGGCACTTAACCACAATATTTAGAGAACTTGACTGCTTGGATTTTTCCCAATATTATATGTCTGTTGTCTGCAGTGTTGAAAATGATAGCAGTTTTCATTAGTGATCAGCCATTCTGATGTCTTTTCTCATGCTGCCCAGGAAACTAATAAATCCTTATTTCTGACATACTTTTTCATTAAGTCCAAAATTCCAAAATTCAATTATATATTTATTTTTAATTATCCACCTGGTCTCAAACCTGTTTAATAGACTTTTTTGTCCCCGAGGCTTAACCTTCTTCAGTTGTTATTTGTTATTCAGTTGTCATTTTGTTTCCTGTGCGCCGAGCTCTAACCAGCTGAGCTAGAAGTGTAACCAGTATATGGCTAAAATGAAGGGTCAGGAATAGAAAGCCCTAGTAGTTCCTTTGCTACACCTTGTTTATTAAAAAAAAAAAAAAAAAAAAAAAAAAAAAAAAAAAAAAAAAAAAAAAAAAAAAAAAAAAAAAAAAAAAAAAAAAAAAAAAAAAAAAAAAAAAAAAAAAAAAAAAAAAAAAAAAAAAAAAAAAAAGGCAACCAAACACGAAATATAAGAGATTACCTTAAGTAGTAAAGTTTAAAAGGAACTGTATTTTCTCCTTTGCCCACCCAGCTCTCAAGGACATCTCTTGCAGCGTCACTAGGCAACGGGGGCAGCCTGAAGCCTAATTAAAATCTTAGATCTTTGAACTTGCCCAGAGAGTTTTGTGAATCTTAAGTGTTATCCAAATCGGTGTTTTGCAGCATTTCAGATCGCAGGGGTGAGGTGGCTCAGAGCCAAGCTCCGGGGAACTTCGGGCGTAGATGAAATTTTATAATTAATGAAAAACTTCCCCTGGAGCTAGGGTAAATTTTTTGCCAAACTGGAAAAGAAAAATGCTGATCTGATTTATTCATGTTAGTCAGACAAGTGGAAAAGTTTGCTTTTAAATGTTAAAATTGCCTAGTGGGAAACCCACTGGGAAGGAAGTAATAGTGGTATAAAAACAGTGGTTAAAAGAAAGGATGTAAATTGATACTTCAAAATAGGCATTACTGATGTTTATGCTAAGATGAAATAATAAAAGGGCCTTTAATAAGAGAATTTCTATGGTTCATAAAGCAAGAGAAGATGAGCTGTTGGTTCTCATCGTTACAAATAACGGCGTCAACTACTGACGTTT